GGTAATTAGGCAATAGAGGACCCTTGGAACTGCCACAGCCCACCTCCTCATGATTACGGATTCCCCCAGGAATATACCCACTCTGGTTGCCCACGCTTGGCTAACTGAGTTAGGCAGAAACTAAGACTGTCACAGGCTGGCATTACCCATGTGGCTGCCTTTAATTACGACACATTTTTAGCCAAGGATGGGTAAGATGTCCCATGACAAGCACTCCTAAGACAGGATATGCACATGGCCAGGTGCATAGTCCAATGATGGGCAAGGTTTGGTCAGAGGTGACATAACTTAAGACAGGCAAAAATGCATAAGATTAGAGGAAGGAGATAGCCATATCTCCTAAGGGAGCCATCTATGAGATGGGTAACCCCTGAAATACAGTCAGTCTGGCCTTATACAATAAAAATAAAAGGAGTCCAATGATGGGCAAGGTTTGGTCAGAGGTGACATAACTTAAGACAGGCAAAAATGCATAAGATTAGAGGAAGGAGATAGCCATCTCTCCTCAGGGAGCCATCTATGAGATGGGTAACCCCTGAAATAAAGTCAGTCTGGCCTTATAAAATAAAAATAAAAGGGGGAGATATGGGGACCTATAGGCCCTGTCTTGCCAAGGTGGAGCCGAGAGGAAGTTACTGGGGCATGGCCTGACTTGTTTTCAAAGTCTGACGGATACTTCTGCACTGCTGAGGAGTGCATGATCAGCATGTGAGCATCCTTAAGATACACCCTCAGGGGGGAGAGGGATTTCCAGATGCCTTTATAGGCTCTGTAATGCCTGCAATAAATGAGTTCCTGCTTGACTAGACTCCCCGTTGCGTCTGATTGTTCCTGGGGCTGGGGGCGGCAAGGGCTGGCGAACGGTGTGCTTACTCATCCCCAGTCATCCTTGTGTGGGGGTCACGGGCTCGAACCCCCCACATGCATGTATGTAAATGTACCACATTCATGCCTAGTGCCCGTGGAGGCCAGAAAAGGGTATAGAAGCCACTGGAACTGGAGTTAGAGGAGCTTGTGATGTGGACACTGAGAATTGAACCCAGGTCCTATGCAAGAGTAGCAAGCGTTCTTAACCGTGAGCCAGATCTCCAGCCCCTAAACTTGCCAAATTTTGACAGCCCAAATCAAGTGTTTTCTTGACTCTGCCCAGAAAGATATGGGAGTCAAGAGACTGAGAACCTGTTTTTTCTTTTTTGGAGCTGTACTGAAGATTGAACCTAGTACCTCACTCACGCTGGCTCTTAATCATTGAGCCACTTCTCCAGCCCTTTTAATTTTTTTAGAAAAAGATTTATAGCTGGGCGTGGTGGCTTTAATCCCAGCACTCAGGAGGCAGAGGCAGGCGTATCTTTGTGAGTTCAAGGCCAGCCTGGTCTACATAGTGAGTTCCAGGACAGCTGGGGCTACAGGGAGACCCTGTCTCAAAAA